TGGGTGGGGAGAAGGGTGCAACAATGAATGAATGGAATTCCAAAATCTCTGTAGATGTTCATTGAAATGAAAAAGAAATAAATTAAAATATTAAAAAAAGAAGTCTTTGACAGCACATTTTCTCAATGGAACATGCTTTTTGATTTCTTGACTGTTGCATCCATGGATTTTGATTGTATATCCAAGTAAAAGTCGTTGACAACTTTTAACCTTTTCTCCATCTATCATGCTATCTGTCTATCTATCATCTATCTATCTATCTATCTATCTATCTATCTATCTATCTATCTAGTGGTGAGGATTTTCATTTTCTTGAAGTTAACATTTAATCCATATTGAAGGCTCTAGTCTTTGATCTTCTTAAGTAAATGCTTTAAGTTTTCTTCACTATCTGTAAGCAAGGTTGTGTCATCCTCATAATTCAGGTTGTTGATAAGTTTTTCTCCAATTCTGATGATGCCACATTCTTTTTTATATAATCTAGCTTTTCAGATTATTTGTTCAGCATATACAGTGAATAATTATGATGAAAGAATAAAACCCTTATACACACCTTTCCTAATTTTAAAACATGCAGTATCCCCTTTCTCTGTTTGACAGCTGTTTCTTGGTTCTTATACGGGCTTCACAAGAGCACAATCAAATAAATGTCCTGGGATTAAAATGCTCAATTGTATCTATAACTTATTATGACCCATACAGTTAAATACCATTTCAGTCAACAAAACACAAGTAAACATCTGTCTGGCATTCTGTGCCTTAAGTCAAGATTCATATGACTTTAACAGTGATAGCCCTTGGGTCACAGCTTTATTTGAATCTCACTTGAATTGCTGGCAGTTCCCTGTCAGTGGGTGGCTCTAGTGCTCCACAAGAAATCTCCAGCAAGATTTCACTTGATTTTAATATTAAAAATATTAATCATACATTGGCACAGTCAGAATTCAAACTCAGGTCTGTCTTACTTTGAAGACTCCACTGTAATGCACTGGAAAGGGTTTGGCTTAACACAATGCTTTTCACACCCTAGCTTCAAGAAATATTTCAGGCATGACTAACCCCAGGTTTGATGACTGGTGTAAAACGACAGTGCTCAGAGAAGAGACTGAACATTTGAATCACCTTTTTTGCTGCTTCCACACCTAGATTTCCTTTGCAAACCATTTACCCAGAGAAAAACCCGGGAAACATGATTAATGCCTTTCCTGTAGCTGGGCCCTGCACTGTGGGCGTCTCATGTACACCCAGCTGCTTTCTTGAGCGAGACCTGTGAGAACTGGTCCTGGCCATGAATCAGATGGTGGGCGTTGCAGCTGATTTCTCATCAGCATTTTAGAAGAAATGAGAGCAGATAACTTGTGGTTGAAGACTAGCAGATTCGTCCTTACACATTTGGGCTGGGGGTGTTGGCATGGTGTGAATAGTTTAAAAGGCCAATTCAGAATTTTTTTCTTTTTCTTTTTAGGTCTAGGGGTGCTATGAAGAAATCCTTACAGGGATTTCAGTGTAAGCTTGTGAGTTGGGGGTTTGGAAGAACAATCCTGGATATATATGTTGGCTTCCACTTGTCACATGCAGAGATGATGAGGTCAAAAGGAAGAAGGACCCCAACATTTTTACTTTAAGCATTTAAACAACTCAAGGTGATTGAATCAATGTTGAAGTCAAACATGGGGATAAAATATAGACTCTCAAGCCTGGATTTGAATCTCAACTTTGTCAATATCATCTCTGTGAACGTAGGTATGTTATTTAATATGTTGTTGTTGATGTGTACCGTTGAGATGGAACTGACCCATAGCTGAGCCTCTGGTGGGTTTTCAGAGGCAGTTAATCACATGGGAGGAGATTGTTCATCCTTCTCCCATAGAGCAGCTGGTGGTCTCAAACTGTGCACCTTTGAGATTGCTGTGAAGTTTCTTGCCACTAGGCCACTGGAGCTCCCTTTATATATATATATCTGTCCCTAAATTTCTTAATTTTGAGACTGAGATAATACTGTAATTTTCACATATCACTTGTCCAGGCAAGTGACATGCTCAAGTGTATAATATTCATAGTTCACATGGGAAACTAACTCATGAACAGGTTGTACAGTTTACAAAACCCATACAATACATCCATTAGTTGTGTTAAAATGGAGCAATAGAATCTACCCCTATGGACCACCGCCTATCTGTCAGCCTGCTGTACTGTAATGGCTTGCATTTACTATGGTGGTGGAATCTATGCCCCCATCAAATACTAAGCAGGTTCAGTCACAGTGAACAGGCTTCAGCAGAACTCCCAGGTACTATAGTAAGAAAGGCCTGGTGATCGACTTCTAAATAGTAGCTAATGAAAATCTCACAGATTACACCAGAACATGGTCTGACTTGCTTTGGACCTGTAAGCAGGAGGGATAACTCTTTGGAGGAAGACATCATGTCTGCTGGAGTAGAGAGACAGCAAGACTGCAGAAGACCCTTGGTAAGGTAGATTGGCACAGAGACAAAAACATGGACAACAACATGAGGTGATGATGAGGATAATGTTTCATTCTGTTGTACAACAGGTCACCATTAATCAGTGTCCATAGCTAACAAGAACTCAAGGGAGCTACTGTGTAATTGAGATGGTATTAAGGGAGATCTCTCTCTCTCTCTCTCTCTCTCTCTCTCTCTCTCTCTCTCTCTCTCTCTCTGTCTCTCATTGCCTTTAAATTGGCCCCAACTCAGCTAACCCTCTGGGGAGTTTTCAAAGGCTGTAAATCTTACAAGAGGAAATGGTCCATCTTTTTCCCATAGAGCAGCTGATTTGGGTTCCCTGCCTTTGGATTGACTGTACAATTCCTTACTCACTAGACCTCAGAGCTCCCTTGTTAAGGACTCATTCGTTGCCATCCAGTGGGAACTGGCTCACACCTAACTCTCCAGGAGATTTCAGAGGCTGTAAATTGCAGTCTTCGGAGGAGACTGCCTCTATTTCTCTCACAGAACTGCTGGTGGATTTAGAATCACTTGCCTTGGGGTTCATAGTGCAACTCCTTTCTCACTAGGCACCAGAGCTAATTACTATGTTTGCAATAATTTGTATTCCAAAACTATAACTTGGTTTTGCTAAATCTGACTCTATGAACCTGCAAACTTATTAATCACGGAGTGATTTTTGGGGACTACACTTTTCTCTAATGACATCCAAAGATAATGTTAAAGAAGCCATTCAGTGTAAATGAGGGACCTCATGATTGCAGACTCTCAAAATTGTGAGAAGCAGCCCAAGGTCAGTATCCCTTCTCCTACATGTAAAGATTTCCAGTTTTAATAGTAACAATGCTGCAGCAGCTGCTGGTTCATCTGCCTTATTCTTGGTCCAGTGGGGGACACTTTGACTTTGCAGGGTCAGAGACCTGACAGACTTGTGCTAATTTTTAATAGAGTCTTAGCCTCACTTCCTTGTTACTAGGTGATTTTGACAGAAGCAATGCCATGGAGTGCTAGTAATTTTGTTGTTCCTGTGTACCATAGTCAGAAGTGACCCATAGCAGACCCTCTAGCGAGACTTCAGAGCCAGCTAATTGCACCAGAGGAGATTGCCTGTCCTGCCAGACAGCTCGTGGCCTCAAACCATGGACGTTCAGGATTGTAGCACAGCTCCTTGCCGGTAGGCCACCAGAGCTCCCTTGAAAATTCATATGACATGTTTTCCTGAGCTGTCAAGTACTTACAAAAGTGAATGAATATTGCTCTTTTATTCTCATACTACCCTGTAAAGCTAAGAGATGAATATAGTTTCTCCCCCTCCCCCCCTTTTTTTTAACACAGGGATCTGAGATCCTAGATTGTTTTAGGTGAGGGCTCTAAGGTCACAGATTCACTCAGTCTGCATATATGGATGAGGTCTGGTGGT